CGCCTCGGCCCACGGATCGGGGCGTGGAGCGCAGGCCTGGGGTCAGGGGACGCACTCACATCCCTGGGGTGTCAGCACTCCGGGCTCAGGCGGCGCGCGTGGCTCGGGGAGCGGTGCCCTTCGGTCTCCCTGCGGACCGAAAAGCGGGCGCAGCCTCGTCTTTCGGGGAACGCAGCCGCAGACGCGGACCCAGCTCGAGGGGCGGGGCGGAGCCGAGGCGGGGGCTGAGCGGGGAGGTGCGCGGGGCTGGAGGGCGCCAGGGCTCAGGGCCCCGCAGGTCTCTGGCCCTTGCCTCCCTACGCCCCTCGCCCGCTCTCGCACACCCCGTACGGCTCGGGCCCCCGCGCTCCCCTCCTCCACCCTACCTCTCACCTCCTCCCGAGAGCGGTGGGCAGGATCCATACCTCCTCTGCCTGGCCGGCTGAGGTCCCTTTGGAAATTCTCCGAAGAACGTTTCCTGGGAGGAGGCGGCAAAGCGCACAAAGACGCAGGGAAGGCGGGAGGGAGGCACTGGCTGCGGTGCTCCGTGCTGCGTTTAGGCTCCGACCTTGGGACCCTTCCCTCCCCCGCACCATCCTCCCTTCCAATGGTCCCAGGCAGTCCTGCTCCTGAGGGCATCCGTGACGACACCTACGAGCAGTCACAGCCCCGGGGATTTCTGTCACCAGCCACATTCACACCTGAAGAGAACTCTGACGGGTCTTGGGGCTTCCGGCCAGGTGCTCAGGGTCCCCTTTCACCTTTCCTGCAGTCCCTAGGCCTGGAGTCCACCTGGTAAGCCTCACGCTGCCATCGGACCTCTTTCACCGGCCTGCATTCATCTGGCCAGACTAGGTGCCACCGTTGGCCTGGTGCTGCTGCCCTGAGCTCTGGAGAACTCCGTGAGAAAACAGAGGGAGGATTCTGGCCTCCTGAATCTTACATGAGACAAGTGATTTTTCACTTATACATCTTTGCAAGATGTGACAAGCTGAGCTGACCTTTATTGGTCACATACTATGTGTCCCACCTCTTCTAAACACTTAACATATATTATCTCAGTCCAGTCTCACAACCCTGCTGAGCAGGGCTTTGTGAGACTGGACTCATAGATTTTCCATCTTAGGTCATGCACAGAAGTTTGGCTGGCTGCTCAGGGCTGTATAGTGATGAGGTGACGCATCCACAGTTGGGCTCCATTTTCTGTACACCTCACTCTCCCTCCGAAAGGCTTCAGAGGGGTGAAGGCAAAGGAAGAGATCAAGGAATTCTGGTTTGCATTAAGGTGAGGAAGACCCCTTTGAAGATGTGCCACTTGGAACTCCGAGTTGTAGTTAAGAAAGTGCAGGGGACAAGAACTAGGTCACAGCTGAAACACCGAGAAGGTAAGAGAAATTTCTGAGTCCGTAAATAAATAGGTAAATGTGATAATGGCGCCTCAAAGCCTGCATGGTGAGTAGGAGGAAGATGTGGAACTCAACCTGGGCAGAGCTAATTCCTACACTGGGTCAGAGGTCCTGGGTCTTAGGGAGGCTTTTTGCAGAAGCAGAGCCTGAGACAAGGATTCTAGGGAAAACTTATTTGGAAGTTCAAGGAGCAGCTGCAGGGAGTAGGGAAGTGGTCTGGGGCAGGGAAGGTAGTCCAGGTCAGCAAAGGCAATGGTAGGAGCAAGCCACTGCTGGAGCCCAGCCCAAGAGGAATTCTAAAAGGTGATGTGAAATGTGTGCCTCAGACTCGATCTCACCCAAGGGATAAGGAGCTGTAATATTTCACAGTTCCCAGGAGTCATCAAGGGCTTCTCCCCAGGGTTCATCTTCCATCACTTCCCATTTGCCAACCACACAAGGCAGGCAGAGTAGCCTCCCTCTACACAGAGATGAGACACCGGGCAGGCAAAGTTACAGCAGAGCACACTGACGTGGTTGAGGATTTGGGGGAGTATTTGCAACACCCACCCAAAGTGTATGGCCAGTGCCTGAGCTCCCACGGGAAGCTGAGCCTGCTGAGAAAACCAAGGTGGCTCAGGTCAGCAACCCCTCCCTGAGGGACTAGGGTTCCCATGGGTTCAGCTGAATCAAACATTAGTTCAAAATCAAAAATCAGCAGGCATCCCAAGGAAACAAGCCTCCAGAGTCACACTCAGCAGAAACAAGGACAAGCCATATATTTAAATATGCACAAATTCTCCAAATTAGAGAGGGCAAATATAAAATGACTATGGAAAATATAGAATACAAAATGAATCTGTTTGATATGTTTAAGATATATTAAAAGAAGAGCCAGGGGTTTGGCTCAGTGGTTCTGCCACCTACCTCACAAGCGCAAGGTCCCAAGTTCGATCCCCAGTACCAAAAAAAAAAAGATATATTAAAAGGAGTAAGACTGTCAGGCTGACCCCGTTTATCTAAAAAAAAGTAAAACCTTTAGAAATTAGAAACTTTCCATTGAAATGAAAACATCAGTAGAAACCTTAAAAGAATTATGTTAAGTGGAAGAAACCAATCACCTAAGAAAAACATCTATTATATCCTTTTGTTAAAATGAAATGTCCAGAATTGGAAAATCCCACAGAAGCAGATTAGTGGCACCTGGTACCTGGGGAGGGAGAAATGGAGAATGGCTGCTATTGGGCACTGCTAATAAACGAAGTGGTAAAAACTTCTCATTTAGGAATGATGACAGCGTTCCAAGCAGGGTGCGGTGGTGCAGGCCTGTAATCCCAGCTACGTGGGAGGCTGAGGCAGGAGAATTGGAAATTCAAGGCCACATTGGGCAACTTAGCCAGATCCTATCATAAAATAAATAAAAGAAGGTAGTAGAGTACTTACCCAACAGGAGCAAGGTCCAATTCCCAGTGCCACCAAAATAAATTATAAAAATGGATGGTGGTTCTCGGGTGTGGTAGCATATACCTGTAACTCCAGCACTCAGGAGGCTGAGGCAGGAGGATCACTGTGAGTTCCAGGCCAGTCTGGGCTGCATAGTGAGTGCAAGGCCAGCCTGAACTACATAGTGAGACCCTGTCTCAAAGAAAAAAGAAAAATTGATGGTGGTGATGGTTCCACCACTTTGTAAATATACTAAAACCTACTGAATTATATCCCTGGAGTGCATTTTATATGAATTATATGTGAATTATATGAACTATAACTGTTAATTTTAACTCAATAAAGCTGTTATATTTTTTTAAACTGCAGCAAATATGACACAACCAAAGAGGTATTAAAGGTGTGTGATTACTAAATCAATCCACTGAATAGTTTGGCACAGCCCTAATCCTGGTAGCCAAGGTAGAATATAAAAAGGGCAGAAAGAAGTTGCTAAGGTTGCCTGTCCACTCCCTTGTTGCTTTTGCTGTCTTCTGCATGCAGTGAACTGTTTGTCCTCTGTAGCACCCCTCTGCCATGTGCCACTCTGCCTTGGACCCAGCTGAGGATGAACTGAAACCTCTACAAACTATGAGCTACATAAACCTTTCCCCCTTATCTTGTGGGTGTTGAGTATTTTGTCTCAGCAACTAGAAAAGTAACTAAGACACTAGAATAATAAAAATAAAGTTTATACTTAGGTAAGACAGTGAAAATTTTTTTCACTTGAAGATCTTGCTATATAGTTCCAGCTGGTCTTGAACTCACTGTGTAGCCCAGGATGGCCTCAAACTCAGTGATCCTCCTGCCTCAGCCACCCAAGTGCTCGGACTATAGGAATGCACCACTACGCCCAGCTTAAAACAGTAAAATTTCAGACCACCAAAAACAAAAGATCTTTTAAAGGTCTTTGAGGAGCCAACTCACAAAAGAAGAATAACGCTTTAAAAAAAAACAGCAGTTAGACTCAGGGCACAATGTCAGCAGCAACAGTGGAAGCCAAGGAATGAAGTAATATCTGTAAAGTGCTCAGAGAAAAATAATTGCCAACTAAGAATTTATAGTTTTACAGAAATAAATACAAAATAAAATTTTCAGATAATTATAGATCTAGAAAACAACTCAATAGCAAGAAACCAAACAGCCTCATTTAAAATTAGGCAAAGGGCGGGTGTGGTGCCACACGCCTGTAATCCCAGGGCTCCGGAGACAGGGGCAGGAGGATCTCCATCAGTTTGAGGCCAGCCTGGGCTACACAGTGAGTTCAGGACGAGCCTGAACTTCAAAGTGAGACCCTGTCTCAAACACAACAACAACAAAAAAGTGGCCAAAGGATCTAAATAGACATTTGTCCAAAAAATCTGCAAATGTCCCACAGGCTTATGAAAAGATACTCAGCATCACTATTCATCAGGGAAATGCAAATTAAAACCATAGTGAGATATGACTTGACACTTGTTAGAAAGGCTATTATAAAAAGATGAAACTTTGGGCCTGGGGTTTAGCTCAGTGGCACCGCACCTGCCTCTCAAGCTCAAGGTCGTGAGTTGGATCCCTGGTACAAAAAAAAAAAAAAAAAAGATGAAACTTCACAAGTGTTGTGGAGAAGGGAGCCTGAGAACACTGTCGGGAGTGTAACCTCACATCACCATATGGAAAAGCAGAAAAACTTCAAGCAGAACTCCTCAGTGATTTGGCTATCTTGGTTCTGCCACTGGGGGCACATCCAAGGGAAGAGATATCTGCACTCCACATTCAATGCAGCACAATTCATGATGGCCAAGTGAGGAATTAACCTAAGTGTCCATCCATGAATGAACAGATTTTTTAAAAGTGGCATACACACATATCAGCCTACTATTCGGCCTTTAAAAGGGACCATGTGGAGGAAATGAAAGATGTTGTGCTAAGTGAAGTAAGCCCAGCAAAGAAAGACTATGTAGTCTCATTCCTATATGGAATCTAAAAAAAAAAAAATTGAATGTACAAAATCAGAGAGTGGAATACTGGTTACCAGGGGCAGGGACAATGCAGGGAGTGCTGGTCAGGTCTGATTACAAAGGTACGTTATTTTAGATAGGAGGTAGAGGTGTTTGAGATCCATTACACAGCATGATAACGATGGTTAATACAATGTACATTTTTAATTATTAGAGAATAGATTTTAAATGTGCACACCACAAAAAAATAAGCATGTGAGGTAAAAGGTATATTAAGTACCTTGATTTAATTATTCCATAATGTAGTATACATCAAAACACCACCCTGTACCTCATAAACACATACAATTAATATGCATCAATTAAAACACTATCTTAAAGTATATATTTTTCAGATAAATCAAAGTATTTATAAATAAAAGTATTTATTTTTCAGATAAATAAAACTCAGAGACATTGAGAGGTGTGATGGTTAGTCAACCCGAATGGCTTGAGAGTTGCCTAGGAGATTAGTAAACCACATTTCTGGATGTGTCTGCAAGGCTGTTTCCAGATACAGTTGGCGTGTGAGCCAGTGCACTGAGATGGAAAGACCCACCCTGAATGTGGGCAGCTGTGTCCGAGAGGCCAGCACCCAGATGAGACAAAAGCGGAAGAAGCCTGTGCTTGCAAGCTTGATTCTGCTTGAGCAGGTGCCTTCAGCCTTTCAACTCGAACTCACACCCGTGATTCTCCAGGGAACTCCCAGGCCTTCAGCCTCAGACTGAGGCTGCATCTTTGGTCCCTC